AAAAAGACAATATATTGTGTAACACACTAATTCCTACAGAAATTTTCCCTCAGGGGATTTTACCATGACATTTTGGCACAGGATTGCTGGCATGCAGTCATCTCCTCCTGCTGGCACAGGGGAGAATCAGTAACAGTGGATTTACATCTGACTTTGCCATTTTGCAGTTAGCTTTTCATGTCCTGCTATAACCTGTAGCACTAACAAGTACAACAAGAGTGCAACACAGACACACCATAAAGCAAGTAAAATACAGGGACCGACATTTGAACTCTTAGTAAGCGTAGTGACAAGTTTAGCAAAGGCATCCCAGCCCCAAACTTTTCACCTAAATACTTGTCCATTCAAGGTGCAGACAGAACACTGATTATAGACTGAGGCTATGGATGAGGTGCAGAGCAAGAGCTGATCATCAGCTTGTGTTGAGATGAACCAGGAGATGCATCTTGGCTGCTTCCACCTTGCCAGGCTTCATCCTGTAGTCACCTGGTCCATGCACATGCTGAACCCAAGCACTGTGGGCAGTTTTGTTTACCCCATGTGAGAAAGGAGTCTGCTGTGTAATATGTGCTCAGGTTTCCATCCACCACCACCACTCCCACCACAAGGGCTGGGGGGAAAGTAAGGAAATTTTAAAAGAGGGTATTTGCTGTGCAGTGTTTTCCCATTTTTTGCACATCACATCATAAACTTTGGCCCCCGACCTTTGACCCTTGACCCTTACCATTGTCCCCTGGCTTTTGACCCCTGGCTCTGGAGCCTGGACCCTGATCTGGTCCCCAACTACTCTGCCCTATCTGTACCCAGACCTACTGCTGTGTCCTGTAACCCCAAACTCCTGGAGTGTAACCCTCACACCAAAACCCCTGCCTGTCCCTCTGCAGACTGTACATGTCAGCCCTACCTTTTTGGTGTGGTCTGTGAGGGTTCTGGTGTTGTCCTGGTCTTAGGATTGCTGCCTGCTGCTGCTGCTGCCATGAGGGCTGAAACAGCAACCTTAGGGGCAGTGTGACTTTCTACTGCTGTTTTTATATTTTAAACTAGAGAAAAATTACAATCTGGTTTAAACACAGAAGAGCAGAGGAAACGAAGTGTCTGTGAATAAAGCAGATTAAACACAGAAAGGTTTGATATATACCCAGAAATGTGATTAAAACCAAATAAGGTTAGATGTTGGTGCCAAAAGTTTTTGTTCAGGTGTGTCTCCTGCAAGGAGGGAAATGGGTGGATATCTGGAAACTGAGTGAGCTTTCTGGAAGAACGTGGTAGGTATTAGGTCATGTTTCATACCTAAAGCTGCAAGATTCATTAAGATTCAAGTAAGTAAATTTTCTTAATATGAAAACTTTATCTAACCATTGATTTAACTATTAAAAAATACCATTGTCCATGATAAAAGAAAGTGCTTACACTTGTGGTCTGGATTTTCTGCTACTTATGAAAACTGGAACACATCCTATAATTGTGTTATACAGAGTTTTACCAGAAACAAACAATTACTCATTAACTTTCATTCAGGTTTATGGCAAAGATCAAAGTCTGCTATCAGAGTTCTGATATATTGATTTTGGCTAATTTTTTCCAGTTTTGTTTACCTGATACCTGAAATCCCAGCTGAAGTCATTGTATTCAAATGTAGCTGCACAACTTCAGGTTTTACCAAGCTAGTGAACTATAAATTTAGATGTTATGCACTCAAGCAGGTGAGTGCTTGCACTTGAGCAGTCTAAATTACTTGAAAATAAAATAATATATATATGTATCTTACTATTAACTGGACTAGAGCACAGGTTTCAAAACTTCGACTCAACGTTTTTATTCCTCCTCCTGGCTCCAAAAAATAATGATTAAATAAGAAAAACAAACAATGGATAATTCAGTGTAACTCCTAAGAATTTTTTATTCCATTTGAGTGAACCAATACATTCCTTTGTGAAACAGTAAGCAACATTAATTAGTGTACATTTTCATGTGCCATCTATTCTAATGTATCAACAGAGAAGCTTGCAAATTTCTCCTGCCTTGTGGTGTTCAATGTGAGACTAATTTACTCTGTGACTGATGTTTCTGCAAAAGTCTCACAGTGACTGCAGTAAGTCTATCTGATATTTCATATAACTTTATGTTTTATATCTCTACCATTATACCATTTGCTGTTTTAGTCGGCATCAGTTTAAATAAGCAGTAATCTTGATAGTAGCTTCTGAAGCAATGGTACTAACAACGTGTGACACTTACAGCATAAAAGTGAAACATTGTTTGCACATACCTCAAGCCTGCTAATTTTCTGAGACACGCTCACAGTACCAGCACAGTAACAGCACCAAACACATACAAGAGATCACTGGAAAGCCTTCTTGTAGGCTAACAGGTAAAATGCAAAACTTCAGATACAGAGGAATTTGTTGATTATGACTTCAGGTCTTCAATTCTTCCTCCTGCCAAAACCTATGGTAATACCCTGCCTACAGTCTTCCCAGTATAAGTCTGTCATAATCTGAGTGCAAAATCTACTCCAGAACATGTTTTTATAACATGGAACGCCAAATGCATTTTCTATTGTTATTTGGTGTAATTACAGCAATTAAAATCAGGTCTAAGGCTTGGAAGCCTTGAAAGAACACTTGCTTCCTAACGTCTGGCTCAAGAATAAAAGAGACAGCAATTGAGGATATTAACTACAAGAAGTAAGGTCACTGACTGCACAGCTGTGTAGAAAAAAACATCAGAGGGCAGATTCAGAAAAAAAATGGACAAGAATCCAAGATGGCAGGACAGTATGCTTAGCCTAGGACTAAGCCTGCCCATTTCCTATGAACATAATACATAATTAACATTTGATGACTCATTGTAGCCAAAACTATACAGTGAACGAAAACCTGGCACTGTGGAACTGCAAATGACCACGTCCGTGTCCCAGTCCCCAGCAGCTGTCCTGCACTGTTTGCTCACTGTGCCAGTCCTCAAATGGAGGAATTCCCCTTGGAATTGCTGAAGTCATTGTAGATGACCTTGGCATGATTCCTGGCCCCAACAGAAAACTCGGCACTCAGTGGGCACAGGGTGTGGCAGCATGGCTGCAGGAACCATAGTGTGGGGTTGCCCCAGCTGAGCTCTTCGGTCCCCCAGCACCACACACCAGGGCTACACACAGGCAGCCAAATGCATGATGGGGCTCTACCCCGGATTTCCTCCCTGCTTTCCACAGCGAGGAACTATGAGGGTCTCTAGCCAGCAGAGTACCTCAAATAGTAGCAGCATTAAGAGTGTCAGCACTGCATTAGGCAGCCTGTCACAGCATTGCCTCTGTAACCCACCAGTACCTTTTTTTTCCCTTTTTCTAAAAATTTTACAGTCTATATCAAAAGCAAGTGTCTCAGTCTTCTCACAGGTCTGGCAACTTGCAGAGCCTCGGGTGTGCAAGTTTGGAGGCATTCTTCTCTCTCCTGTACTGCTCTAGGTTTTAATTTGTTCTTTAGCAGTCTTCCTGTCTAGCTTGTTGCAAACAAGATTTGTGTTGCTTTTTTTTTTGTAATGAAAAAAGTAATTAAAAACACTTCTACACTTCCCATCTGGTTTTTGCATCAGGAAAACAGGCAAAGAGAAATTACTTCCCGAGATCAGCCAGTGCAATACACAAAACCTGGAAATTCTCTCATTGGTCTCTGCACAATCTAGGATACAGCCAAGGAAATAAACTTAGACTATGAAGATAAACTTTCACTCCCTTGTTAGAATGTCTGAATGCTATTAGTCTCCCTGGACCAAATATTTGCACTATTATATCCAGAGGAGCACCTGATTCCTACTAATATATATTGATATTATGTGAAGAACAATGTAGTTCAACTTGTTGTCTATGTTTGAAAATCAGAGGCTGAAATGGAGAAATGAGTAAAAAAAGGAAGAGTACAGTTAGGAATAAAATGCTAGGAGAGCCCTGTGAGCCTGAACCATGATGTGAACCACAGATAAAATGAGAACATTTAGTAACCACAGATAATGATGGAAGTGCCGATCCTGTAGCAAACACCACAGTACTGTGTGGTTCTCTCCCCAGGATGATGTTTTATTTGCTTTCAAGGCCTCTGGTAAGCGACCTGTAAAAGACATCTGCTGGCTTGTTTTAGAGGAGATGAGAAGAGCCTCCTCTGAACAGACAAGTGATATACAGCAGCCAAGGCTTTATTTTTTGTCAATGACTTGTCAAGCCAGCTGTGAGCATTCACCCTTTCAATCATAGGCTCATTAGGATATATATATTTAATCAGGACTGTAACTCTGAAGGTACTCTGAATGCTGCTACAGTAGTGTATGTTTTAGTATATAGCACCTTACATTTTGACATTTAGATGACCATGCTAATGCTGAGGTAAAATCCAGATTTCTACCACTAAACTTCAGAGGATGAGAACCTGGGAAGCAGTCACTTCCCAGTAAAAAACCACCAGTTTCTTTCTTTATGTTTAGCAAGCGGAGTACTTAAAAAATAAAACACAGCAAAAACAATGCTGAGAATTATTTGATTAAACTCTAGTTGAGGTCATATAGCCATCTGCCTTACTGCTGGGGCGGGTGGAAGCTGCAGTCTTGTGGTGCTTCCCATCAGTGTCCAGAGCATAGCTGCCAAAACAGGAACGCTGTTCTGTGTGCAGATAGCAGAAGCATTCAGCAGCTGACCCTGCTCTCAGTCAGTCGTTTTCCCTTCTGCTGGCACCCCCATCAGTGGCAACAAATCAGGCAGCCTCCTTGACCAGTGCCACTTGATCGTGCTGCCAGATCTTCCACTGCTCATTTCCTGCAGCACAATCTGAAAGAGAGCCTCTTTCCATGCCTGAGCTGGTTTGGACAAAGATAAATCTGAAGGCTGCCTAGTGACTACCATATAAACATACAAAAAAAAATCTGATGATCTAACTTACAAGGCTTCAATTATTTGGTATAATTAAGTGGAGAAGATGCCAAGAAAATAATTGCCAGAAAGTTTTCTTTTGACAAAATTACGATAGAAATTTCTCAACAGCTTCAAGGAACTCCATGGATGAGCTAAGCCCTTCCAAGTCCAGCAGATTGCCCTTTTTGTCATGAAAGTGGAATAATTCAGTCTCTTCCAGCTCTTCCCGAAACAGATTGGTCTCTGAGGTAGGAATGATGACAATCCGAGGGACTGCATTGCTAATGGCAGAATCCACAACTCCATTTGCTTGGCTTCCTTGAGTTGCCATATGGGAAGTACTCGAGTCTCCTCTGGTGACACTGCTGCAATTCAGTCTGATAGGCAGAGAAGTTGCTCTCTGGGAGCTGGTCACGAGTGCTGCAGAGGGACTGGGTAGGACAGGCTGCCCAAACACCTTCTCCAAGCAGCTGGAGGAGAGTGAAACCTGGAGTGGAGATACAAGATTTAGCATTGTCAGGCACCATGTGGCTGTGGAAAACAGTATTTGAAATATTCATTGCCATTAGCCAACATTTGAACCACCTGGCTAATTTTCTAAACGCTTGAATCATTAATTTGACGGAAAATCATTATGTGCTAACAATGTACTGCTTGGAAAGCAGAATGTTAAATGGAGCAAAAGAAGATGCACTCAAATATCAGCAAAGAAAAAAAGAGGAAGAAAACAAAAACTAATTCCTGTATCTGACTTATTTCATCATTAAATAATGGTATTACTTAATTTTTAACACATCTCAGGGTATCAGAGTACTAGATTATTGCACTTCTCTCCTCATAGAAGAGATCCCAGGTAAGACTCAAGTACACTTCATTCTTTATTTTCCTAAAGTTTGTCAACCTCGTGACAATTTCTCTCTCCCCAAATGGCTCCTGATACTTCCTCAGGGAAGTTGGTGGCCTTGCAGTCACACATTGAAAAGTGCTTTCTCCGAGAAAGAAGCAATAAATGCTCATTTTGCAAACAATTTCTTATCTGCCTATTTTCAGAGAATTCTGATTTATAACTTGGCTCTGATGGCAAGGTCTCTGTGTTTTTTCCATAAGTCTTGTACACAGTATCCAAATTCAGAGTCAACTAAGTAAGCTCTGAAAGTGTCAGTTAATATTTAAATACACTGGCAAGGAAGGCATCAGTGATCAGTTTTGGCTTCCTTTAAAAATTACAATCAAGGTCATAAAATTGCGTCAGATAGAGAGATAAACTAGAAGTCCCTCCTTTTTAGGGAAAAGCAACATTTAAAGTAAAGTGCAGTTTTTACTTCATTGCTATGTGAATTCCTATAGTTTTGTGTCATTCTACTCCACAAGCAGGAATCATTCATGAATCCCTATTGATAATGATTTCTCCAGCTGCTCTATCTACCAAGTGGAGGGAAGCACACTGTGCTAAAAAAAAAATGGTTTAAAGCAGTATAACAGAGAAGAAAAGCCCATTGGTCCATATCAAAGATAATAATAGAATGAAAAAATCCAAATCCAAAACCGCTCCTCCCTGCTTCAAGTGCTGTTTTCATTGCAACAGAAGGATAGGTTTCTTTTGGATGTGGCTTGGTGGGCACAACACCCACTGACAAGTTTTTTTAATAGGTTTCACACCAGGTAATTCTCTTGAAACAAAATCCAGATGCAGAGAGGACGTTTGACGACTCTCATTTGAAATCAAGTATCCAAACCCACATTTTAATCCTTCCAGAAAAGTCTCTTCACTGTCATGTTAAATTTCCAGATGTCAGTCTACATCAAGTTTGTTACTATCATAACTGAAGCAAGTCATAGGGCTGGATCATATCTTTCTGGCAGCTCAGAAAACAGTCACATGCATTTTTATCCTTTGGAATGCACCAAGCCTGGGACACTGACTGGCTTGTCCACAACTGAGTGTTTTTGGATATGCTCGATTAGGAATTCAGTCAAAGACAATCCAGTAATGCTATTAAAACCTTAAAATGAAGATTTAAAAATGCATTGGTGCTTCTTTAGGGTTTGTTGGGGTTTTCTGGGGGTTTTTTGAGGATAAATGGGTGGTCTCATTGTGAAACACTCTAACTGAGCTTGACAGATAAATATTTATTCTGATAGTATGAATAGTGATCCATTGCATTTAGTTGTAATGAACGCACAAAGGACCTTCACAACACACAGGAACCTCTGCTGAAAACAGTAAGAAAAACAAATGAGGCTTTGAACATTCAATGTAAACAAATTCCTCATAGTTCAGTGAATGACACTGAAAGTCTAAAGGGTTGTTTATCAAAGTAATTCAAGAGATGTCTTTCAAAGGCAAAGTATAGCACATGAGCCTTCCTGTGGGTTACACACTTGCTAAATTCCAAATACAGATACATTTGTTTTATTACTGAACTGTTTATACAGACCACCTGAGATTTACTTTACTCCTTCCTTGTGAGACCAAAAGCCAGTGATTCTCCCGAACCTGGAGACAATATCCTTTGCCACTTGCCTACAGCCTTGGACACACTTGGCTGCTGACAGAAGGCAGCAGAACTAAGTGGTAGATTTGGGTTCATGTTGCCTGACACCACATTTGAAGCCGCTGTTTTTCCACCAATACTGTTCACAACAGTTTCTCAGGACTTGGTCTTAATGACACGCATGAAAGAAGACAGGACAGGCATGCAGGAACTGGGTCATCGGGTGGCTGGAAATTTTCAGAGTAGTTCCTGCTTTAAACTATGCTGTCTCTAGACAATTACCTCAGATCTGGAAGGGAGCACAGGGGACAGAAGCAGATGCTATAGCTGCCCCAGGTGTGGGTGTTTGTCCACATGCACTAGAATAACCCTATGTAAGGGTGCCTCCATCAAAAAAGAGAGTGCTACTCAGTCCAGCCACAGATAGGGGCTTTGTAAGCCATATGTGTCTTTCCCTGAAAAGGCAGCACTGGTGTATGCCTGACACTTGCCACCCATACAAGTACTCATTTGGAACCTGGTGTAACAATCTGGCAGAAGCTGAATCATGGGTGACCTACTGCTCCCATCAGGGAATGGGGTGCTCCTCAACAGCAGGACACCAAACCTCAGTGGTTTGGCCAATGAGGGTGATGCATCCACAGAGGATGTGCTGAATACTCACTGCCTCCTCTTTCAGTGAGGGAAGGGTGGCAGCTGCCAGACTCTCCCACCCTTAGGATGAAATGGGAGTTTTTTCTCGTCTTCCCCCTCAACAAAAATAAAACATTTTAATATGCACTGAAAAGAAGGAAAGGGTGGCTTCTATCATGTCAAACTCTGTTTTGCAGACTTGACTTTACTCTAAAAGGAGACTGCCACAGTACAGAGACAAGGGCCATGATGGAAGGAACCAAAGCTGGGATAGATAAACAGGCAGAGGCAAAGAACTCATCTTCTTACATCTGATGCTATTGACTATGCCTTAATGCAGCTTCAGAGCTATAAACAGAGCTGGCTTTCCAAAAACAGGCAAATACCAGTGAAAAAAAGTTAATTAGGCATTACTGGCACTCTCATTTGTCACACACACACATCAAAAACAAACAAAAAAGCCCAAACAACAACAAAAAAATATAACAGCAAGGAGAAAGATGATGTTGGAGTCAGTATAAATAAAGCCTGCAGATTAAATAGATGGGCATGAAGGTGGAATTATCATTCCAGAGATAATGTACTGCAGCAAGATTAGCACTTAAAGGGAGAATCCTCAGCTGAGACTTTTTCCTTACCTTTTCAGCAGTGGCTGCATCACAGCTGCAGGTCTTTGGGAGCGGGTCTCTCTTCTCTTGTCTCGGACTTGTGGAGAAAGAATGACTTCGGCGAGGTTTCAGTTTCTCTTGAGCTGGCTCTACCGGGTCGAGCTCTACATTGCTCCAGGTCTAATCACAAATTGATGAAAGATTTCAGACAGTTGCATCCTTTCTCAAATTCTTCTAAGATCTCAAACTCTAGCAAAACACATGCACATTCACAGAAAACTAAAGCTGTTATAACATAAGTCTCACACTCAAAACTCCCCTGGGGAGAGGCTTTATTTTCAGGACTATTTTGCTTGCTGACCAAAAATAAAGCCAACTTTGAAATAATGAAAATTTATTGAAACTCTTTTCACCGGGACATTTTTCACCTTTTTTATCTCATTGCCTATGCTACACTTATAGCTGCAGAGCATCTGAATTCTAAAGATGGGAGTTAATACAATCAATCTGTTTAATATGTCTTGTGGCATTCTGTTTGACCAGTAGCTGATACAAAAACATGGACATAGACAGATCCAAAACCATGTTTGCATACATCCCAGCAGAATATCCAGAACACCAAGAGCTTCTCAGTCTGCATGAGTTTGCTGATTCTACAAACCATCATTAGTGCATGGGAGACAGTGGGTGGGCTTCGCTCTAATTTTCTAAGAGCATGTCAGTAATGAAGCACAAATGGGATACTGCAAAAGTGCTGTTCCATTTACAGGCTTGGGGTGAGACCATCTGTCATCTCTTATTTTTGTGGTGACTTTTTGATTGAGTATCAATGATGAGATCATTCCACTCCAACACCAGCTTTTAGATATGGATAGACAGAGGCCAGATAGGCAGACAGGGCTCCGCACAATTGGGAAGATAGTGCATAATTCCTCTGCATCACCTTGCTCACACATCTATGTGTGACCACCTGTTTATTTCCCCCCACTTGTTGAATAAAATTCTTGAAAGAAACGTTCCTTGACATGACTCACAAATATGTTTGTTCCCTTCACTAACATGTACACAACTCACAGGGGAAAACGTGGGTGGCAACAGCTGCATCTTTTACAGTGTTCCTGGTGTCATTTCTTGCCCATCAATGTTTTATTGGAGCATTCCAAAATTTCAGTCAGCCCTGCTGTCATGCCAAAGTCATCGAGCTTAGCTTTTATTTCAGCAGCTGCTGTTTCAGCTAAAACCTCTACAGCTGCACTGAGCTGTCAGTTGCCCCAAGGACAATTGCCTTTGGCTGCATCAACTCAGCACAGCACAGTGCTGAACGCTGCTAACAGCAGGGGTTTTATCTGAGAATCCTAAGTGAAAGCTGGGCCAAAAGCTGAAGCCTCTCATCCTCATTATCCTGTCTATTTAAGCATGCAATAACCTGCTACCATGAACAAACCAAAACCAAGTAGTGACCAACAGTAAAGAACAGAAAGCTTCTTGGATCAGGATGAATCAGCTGAAATTACTTAATTTGGTATCAAATGAAGGAGTAATGAGAGAAAATTTAGGCTTTTATACATAAAGATATAAAAGGCATGCCTAGGATTTATAATTTTGTGAGAAGTTACTGGTGGCAGCTGTTGCTCTGGGAGATTTCTGATGCCCAAACTGAGGGGGAGCAGCACAGGTTCCCAGGAGGGCCAGCCCCAGCCCAAACTCTGCCGTGGCTGCCACCTCCCCCAGGAGCCACCTTCCCAGAATCTCTGCAGGCAAGGCCAGCTTCTTGTGCCTGAGAGAGGTTGTGAAGAGCCTCAAGGGATTCTTTTGTTTCTGTCTCAGTCACCAGCCTTACTCATGCTTAGGGTATGTTCTTACAAAACACCCCACCATGCTCTAGGGGCAGGAGTCTTTCACTCCTCATGGCTAAAATCCAGGTAAAGAAGTCAAAAATTTCCCATCCTACAGAAAATAGACTTACTTTAAAATAATAAGACAGTTTTTGGTTAAGTTATAAAACTTTGGATGGAAGATTGTTTCCTTATCCTTCAGACCAGTGAGATACCTAACATAACCAGTAGTTTGTGACACAGGGAGTGTCTGACAATGGCTCTTTTTAGTTCACATTAAGAGTTAATCTGAACATCCTTAGTCCCAGCAGGCACCAGGACCACACAGATATGATGGCCTGAATGCTTTTTCTGATTGGATATCATCATGCATGAACTTCCAGCTTTGCAGAAATGACCTTACATGACCCAAAAAATTTAGCTATGCTCTCCTCTTTCCTTTTCTGCTCTTTAATTTTGAATATGTATTTATAGTTGCTTATTTAGAGTTTGATAAATGTTATACTCACTTTCATGGAAACAAGAAAAAACTTACAGCTTCTCCAGTAGAAACGGCAGGAACACAAGTGCTCTTGGTCCTGCCAGCAAGAGAGTGGTGGCTGCAGAGAGAGGTCCTGAGAGATGACTCATTTATGGATCCCCTCAGGAGGTCATTCTTTGATATTCGTATCAGGAACCTCAAGCAGGGAACAGCTTTGTGGATGGTTTTTCTGAGGGAAAAGGTGAGAAAAAAAGAAAAAAAAGCCAAATCTGTCACACCAAAGTCACGGCTTTGAAATTCATGTGGTGAAAATGCTGTCTCTTTCCATCACCTCAACACAGCTTCTGTTTTGATTAAGGGGGCCTTAAAGATTATGTGCAAACAGCATGATAGCTGATGCAAGCCACTCAACAGGCTGAAAAGAAAATAAAAGGTCTTTCTGGGCCTTGTGTCAAAACACACATAGAAGAGCTGCATAGGTAAGTGGTAAGAATTTAAAATGTCTTGAAGAGCATGATTGCATATGGTTTATTTAAAATGTTAACTCAGAAAATTTCAGGCTAGTTGGTACAAAGGTCTTCACTGTGCAAAGCCACAGAATAAGTGGAAACAAGGGAAGAGGAAAAGGGCCAGCAGAATCAGATGTTGTTACTTATTTGTACCACTGTACAACTACTAGCTACTGTAGCTACTGTAAACTCCTATTGAAAATTAACGCTGCAGAAGGACAGTCCAGACCCCAAATCTGCCTTATTCATGAAATAATAATCTCAGTCACGGTTGTGTGAGTCTCTTTCTCCTGATCCCAACCGTGGCCCTGCATGGAACAGAAGTGTCCAAGAGCCTCCCCTGGGCAATGCCAGCTGGCCTTTCTCCTCGCAGGGCAATGCTAGTGAGAACTGCATCTGGTGCAACACCTCCTCAGCACTTCTCAATCCATTATTTCAGCTCAACAGATGAAGCTAATAGGGGCAAAAAACTAAATGAACAAGTCAAGAAGTGAGGCAGCAACAAGGCATATGGCAAGGAAGCCATGCAGGGGACCACAGATGGCTGAAGGATGTCAGTACATTGACTTTACACTGAGGTGAGAGTCAAGCAGATGTATATTGCAAAATCTTTCTCTTCTATAGTTACCAGGTTTGTTGAATAACCAGTACATTTTAAATCATCATTTCTATTCTCGCAAAAGATAACACATGTTAAAATTTCAGAGCCATGATTCTGGCATCATGAAATGAGGTCACTCGCTTATAATCAACACAAAAATCCCACCACCATGAAACCTCAACATTTGGTATCATCACCGCCCTCTGAATAGTTCTGCATATCTTTCCTCTGTAATTTCAAAGGGAAGTAAACAGCAGCTCTGTGTCTACTCTGGAGATGAGGACTGAAAAAAGCTGCCTGCACCATCATTCCTGATCCCGTCAAGAGGCCTGTGAGTGACCAGGCAGGGCTCACTGAGCTGCTTGGGGCAGAAGGCTCCTCACATGATGCTGGGTAAAAAAGATGGTTCATGTTGTGCACAAAATAAAAAGTCCCGAGGAAGGGTTTACAGCACATGAGAAAATGTAATAAATTTCCTTTCAGGCTGAAGACCTCAGTCTGGTGCTGAAAAGCAGCTGCCAGCTTTTTTCCCCAGCTAAGAAGCCGAACTACTTCCCTCTGACAAATTCAAGTGAGTGCAAAACACACCATCCCATCTATTAAATGGGATTTGGTGCAGAGGTCTCCTAATGATGGAGATTCAGGAAATGAATGTCTGATGGTGAATTTTCAAGGAAAATATATGAACATTTCTGAATGCCTCGAGGAACCAGAATTTCTATTTTGCTAATACTTGGGAGGACTATTGAGGGACATTTTGCTGGTTGGGATGAAAGTACAGGTTTTGAAGGGAGTTTTAATATTGTATGTGTGAAATAAAAGACATAAACTGAGGTACTTATTTAATGATATTTATATAATCTGAAATAAAAGAATCACCTAAATTTAAATATATAGTAATTGCAAGCAACTTTTTAAAAAATACTGCAAATCAAATTTATATGTGATTATTAATTATTTATGATGACGGAGTTTTGAACCAGTATTTTTTGTGTAATTCTGCTTTGCTTAGGAGCCAGTTGGAAACATGTAGTTGCAGAATTTTCTGTTTGCTATGAAAGAATGATTCCAAAACCTAAAACTTCCAAACTCTAAGGGAGTTTCTGCAATAATTCTAGCACAGCAATGTGTTAGTTATTGTGCAACATAGAGAAAACACACAAGTTGTTAAAGATATGAAGCTTTCCTCTCCAGAAAAAAGCATTTCACAAATCTTTGAGTACATTCCTCACTTACATTCATTACTTCCTGTGAGTCCTATTAAGGAGAGGTGTTTTTCTCCTTTCTGCTGGTGGGGAAATGGGTGGGCAGGGGGATGAGTAGATGAGGAAGAATATAACAAACTCTCAAACCAGTTCTTAGAAGCCAAGGGCTAGCACAACTGTCAGTGTTACATTTTCAGTTACATTCGCTATAATGTACTTTTTCTTTTCTCTGTAAGGAGAAAAGGTAAGGAAACCCCACAAAAAGGCTTGGTTTTGTTGGGATGTTAATATGCAGTGCCAGGAGTTCTCTGTGCAAAAATGCATCTTGCTTTGCTAGTGGATTGAGTCTGATTTGAACACTTTTGATCCTGATTTCTAGATGCTTCTTTCTAGAAAGACTAGGAAAATAATTTAGATGTAATTTAGTTCAGTAGTTCCAATATAAAATGACAAATTATCCCCTGCTCAAACCCTTAACCCTTTGGCCTGAACAGAGTGGCCCATTTATCTGTGCTTGAATGAATTACTTTCAAAGCATAATGTGAATAATTAGATGAGGTGGAAATTATCCAGAAACAATAACCTTAACATATATATTCATTATTCATTGTTTAAGCAAAATTCATCCTGCCAACATATTTTTACCAATTTATCAGTGTACTGTCAGGTTTTTTCAGTTTTGAAATTGCATTCTTGACTCATCACAAGGGACCCAACATTACTTATTTTCCTGACTGGATTGCTCCCAAGTGTATGAAATGTGTTCACAAGAATTCCAAAAAAATTTCTCTTGTTGATATGTTTAGAAGTACAGATTAGCAAGTAGGGGAGAAAATAAAATAAGATAAAACAAGATACTTATAAAGAAAATGTCTGAAAGCTTGTTGTGGAGTCCAGTCTTTTTCTTAACAGTCTTAAGACAACGCTGATAGGAAAAAGAATGACTGAAGCAGTTCACTGTCACAGAGATGGTGTGGGTTGGAAGGGACCTTGAAGGAACCTTCAAGACCATCTAGTTTCAAGCCTGATGCCATGGGCAGGGACACTTTCCACTAGACCAGATTGCTCAAAGCCCTATCCAACCTGGCCTTGAACACTTCCAGAGAAGCATCCACAGCTTCTCTGGGCAACCTGTTCTTTGCAAAAATAATAAATTGAACACAATAACTTTGGTTCAGAAACAAATAATGGGTCCTAAACACATCAGCCAGCAAGGCAAAATTTCTCATTAAAAGTCTGCAATCCATCAGAAACTAGGCATTCTCCTACTCCACACTAAAATGATCTGTAGGCTTCAAAAAAACTCAGATGGTTTTTGGAAGATGCAAAAAGGTATTAGTTATGATAGCGGATATTTTCAAACAAAATATGTCTCCATATTTTATTATCCATGGTGGAGGAGGAGGGAAGGGAAGGGAAGGGAAGGGAAGGGAAGGGAAGG